CACGCAATCATTGAAGGATGCGCTGAGTCCGGTCATACACTGTCGAAAGAGGGAGAAGAGATGAAGGGGGAAGAGGGAGATTTGGAGGATCAGCCACCATAGCCCAATGAACCCAGTCTCCAGTGTATCCCCAATGTCGCTGGTCATACAATGTCAAGTCGCAATGTCACTGAACTGGGTGATGCCCGAAAGTCACCAAGTCTCAATGTCAACTCTCTCTCTCTCTCTCTCTCTCTCTCTCTCTTACACACACACACACACCTGTCTCTTATACACATCTAGATGTGTATAAGAGACAGGAGAGAGAGAGAGAGAGAGGACTGACGCGGTGTGGCGGGCGGGAGACGAACCTTGGGTGGTGGAGGAGACGGACAAAGGACAAGGTGCGAGGAAAGAAGAGCGTGAAGGGGAGGGAAGAGCTTCAGGAGCATGTGGGGGAGTATGAGGTGAAATGTGTGTCTGTCTGTCTCTCTTTCCCCCGCTCTCCCCCTCTCCCTCTTCTTCTCTTTCTTGCGCGCGTGCCCCTTCATTGAGATCTTGAAAACACATGCAGCGTCTACGTCTACCGGGAAAAGGAAAAAAACGAGATGGACTTCCCTCTGTCGGGCGTTGCGAAAGAAGGGAGACCGGTCGTAGCCCGGGGTTGAACCTGCAGAAAAGGGGAGACCGGTCGGAGTTGGGGTGGAGGGACGAATGGGGGGAATAGATGAGGTGGAGATTGCGGAGGAAACAAGGGGAGGGAGAAGGTTCCGGGAGGGAGGAGTTCAGGCGGAGGCGGAGATCGGGGGAAAGGGAGGGAGGAGATCGGAGGAGAAAGGAGTCAGGCGGAGATTGGGGGAAAGAAGGGGGAGGGAGGTGGTCGGACACGCTAAGGTTGAAGAACAGGAGGATGTCGGGAGGAGGCTGGGATGGAGGGGATCCAAGGCGTCAGAGAGAAGTCCTGCGGCAACCAATGGGCTTAGCTCATCAGCTGGTACACACGTAAACTTTTGAAATGAAGACGGGAGTTGGAATCCAGATGGAAGGATAAACGAAATTTCCTGAATTACCTAAGGGCCGGTCAGTTTTATGATGATATCTCAAGGCGGTCTCCCTTCTTTTTTTTTTACAGAGAAAAAACAAGTCGGGCGGAGGGGAGGGCGAAGGGAGGGAGGACGGAGGGCGGAGGTTGGGTGGAGTAAGGAGGGAGGAAAAAGGTCAGCGGAAGGGTGGTCGCGCGCGCGCGCGTGAGAGAGAGAGAGAGAGAGAG